TCGGGCCAGTTCTTGGGATACATTGTAAATCAGAGAGGAATTGAGGCAAACCCTGCAAAGGTGGCGGCTATAATAGAAATGAGTTCACCTCAGAAGCCAAAGGAGGTTCAAAGTCTCAATGGCCGGATAGCCGCTCTCAGCCGCTTCATCTCCCGAGCCACTGATAAAAGCTTGCCTTTCTTCAAAATATTAAAGCAAGGAAAGAGATTCCAGTGGACTTCGGAGTGCCAAGAGGCCTTCGAGTCTCTGAAGAAGCACCTCGGTGAATCGCCCCTCCTATCAAAACCCCATCCAGATGAACCTCTGTTGCTGTATCTAGCAGTGTCAGATGTTGCAGTCAGCGCGGTCCTAGCCAGGGAAGAAAATGAGCGTCAATTGCCGGTATATTACATCAGCAAAGCACTTCTGCCAGCGGAAACACGCTACTCCGACATGGAAAAACTGGCACTCGCACTCATTACAGCTTCAAGAAAACTCAGGCCGTATTTCCAAGCTCACACAATACAAGTCCTCACCAATTTCCCTTTAAGGCAAGTAATGCAGAAGACGGACGCGTCAGGACGCCTACTGAAATGGGCTATCGAGCTCAGCGAGTTCGATCTCACGTTCCGACCTAGACACGCTATCAAGGGCCAGGCCCTTGCCGATTTTATGGTCGAATTTACCAAAGCCCCAGAAATGGAGGCCCTGATGGAACCAGCCGAGCCCCCCGCATGGAAATTGTTTGTAGATGGGTCTTCAGGAGAGGCAGGCGCAGGGGCAGGAATTGTACTGGAAAGCCCGGAAGGTCATTTGTTGAATTGTGCGGTAAGATTCGGCTTCAGAGCCTCGAACAACGTAGCCGAATATGAGGCCCTTCTAGCAGGACTAAGGCTCGCCAAGGAAATGCAAGCCAGGAAGCTTCTGGCAAGCAGTGATTCTCAGCTCGTGGTGAATCAAGTAAATGGGGACTTCGCGGCCAAAGATGATAACATGCTCGCATACTTGAAGCTGGTTCTGGACATAATTCCCCATTTCGAAAAATTCGAACTGACTCAAGTCCCTCGTCTGGAGAATGCTCATGCAGATGCCCTCTCAAAATTGGCCAGCAACGTGAACTCAGAGCTTCTAAACATCGTCCCCATTGAGCACTTATCAAAGCCCTCCACCTTCGAAGGTGAGGAGTTGCTGTGGATAGAAGTCACCCCATTGTGGACGCAGCCCATAATGGCGTATCTAAAAGAGCAAACGCTGCCTGCTTCCAGGAGTGAAGCAAGGAAGTTAAGGAGAAGGGCCGAACACTTCGTCCTCCACGAAGGAACCCTTTACAAGAGAGGCTTTGCCTCTCCCCTTCTTCGATGTGTGGGCGGCGAAGAGGCCACCTACGTACTCAGAGAAATACATGAAGGGATCTGCGGAAATCACTCAGGAGGGACGGCTCTGGCACACAAGGTCCTCCGTCAGGGCTACTTCTGGCCAACCCTGAAAAGGGATGCTTGCCAATTTGTCCAGAAATGTGACAAATGCCAGCGCTTCTCGAACGTACAAAGACTGCCTGCGCAGAGCCTCTCCATAGTGACCAGCCCTTGGCCGTTCGCCAAGTGGGGCATCGACTTCATTGGTCCGCTACCAAAGGGTAGAGGGAGCGCAACTTTTGCCATTGTCGCCATCGACTACTTCACTAAGTGGGTCGAGGCAGAACCCCTTGCCCGAATCACCGAAGCCAACACTACGAAGTTCGTTTGGAAAAACGTCATCTGCAGGTTCGGCATCCCTCACTCCATTGTCTCTGATAATGGGCGGCAGTTCGACAACAGGAAGATGCGAGAGTTATGCGACGAACTAGGCATAAAGAAAGACTTCTCGACTCCGCATCATCCTCAGGCAAATGGACAGGTCGAAGCAGTGAACAAGACTATCAAGCACACCCTGAAAAGGAAACTGGATGCCTCAAAAGGCGCATGGGTTGACGAACTCCCCCACGTCCTCTGGGCCATCAGAACGACTTGCCGGACCGCAACGGGTGAGACCCCATTCTCAATGACCTACGGAGCCGAAGCGATGAGTCCGATCGAGGTCGGTGTCCCATCACATCGGCGGATACATTTCAATGAGATCAGCAACGATGAGGCGCGCATAAATGAACTACACCTCCTTGAGGAGAAGAGAGACGCTTCCCAGATGACCTTAGCGAAATACCATCGTAAGATGACCCGCTTTTACAACTCCAAGGTTAGAAACAGAACTCTCCGCTTGGGCGACCTTGTTCTCAAAAGGGTGTTCCAATCTTCGAAACCAACCGGGTCAGGAGTTTTTAGCCCAAACTGGGAAGGCCCGTACCGCATTCGGGGAGAATCCCGACCTGGTACTTTCGAGGTCGAAGATATGTCTGGAAGGGTGTTACCTCACAAGTGGAACATAGAGCACTTGAGAAAATATTACCAGTAACAAGAATGTTCCAATTTGATCCTAGGTCGTCATAACTAAATCAGTTGTCCTGATCCGACGTTGGTTGTAAAGATTATTAAATGATGGAATCACCGTTTTTAAGGGGTGTAACTTATCTTCAGTAATGAATTTTCAGTTCCAAACCGGGTCGGCCAGGGAAAGGTTTCCTCAGTTCTTCAAAATGTCCATTTGAGTGATTCTATCGTCACTTATTAGCTGATGAACAAACGTTTCCTCGCATTTTCCTAATTGCTCTGGCCTCAGATTATTAAGAGGTTAAAGTAAGGGGTCACTCCCAACCCACTTAAGTGCTGACTTGTGTTCGCTTAAGGAGACCGATTCACAATTGTTAACTGGTCATTGTCACGAGGCAGTCGGCCTAATGTTTGTCATTCATACAAGTATAAAACAAAAAGAGATACAAAGAAGCAGAAGCGAAAGAACTTGAAAAAGAAATTTAACAAAATTTCCCATTTCATGAAATTGAAGTACATGGGGGCCGAAGCCATTACAAAGGAAACCCTAATCTGAGGGAGGAACTTCAGCACTGGCCGCCTCCTGGGCCTCTGGAACCTCCTCGGTAACCTTGTCAGGCCGACCTCCAGCGGGTCCCCCGAACTCCTCCTCTAGTTGAGAGATGTCCAGTGTGGGGTGCACCTCCTTCAGCCGACCCAATAGGCTCTGGGCATTCCACGAGGCCCAGAAGTTGGCGAAGTCGTCATAAAGGGGGTGGTCCTCGAAGTGATCAATGAAATTTTGAACCGCCACCTCCCCCGCTGACTTTAACTCCTCCCTCAGAGAGGCAATCTCCACTGACTGGGCCTCTGCTTGTTGCTTCAGCTCCGCTTTTTCTCTGTTGGAGGCCTCCAGGGCATCAGTGGCGAGCTTGTGGTGCTCATTAGCGTGGTCAAGCCGCCGAGTCACCACAGCCCCCTGGCACTCCACCTCATAGAGCTCTTTTTTCAGCCGCTCCACCTCTGCCTGCGAAGCAGCGAGCTGGACCTCAGCAGCTCTCTTTGCCTCTTCTGCCTTGGCAGCTTTGGCCTGGGCAGCTCGCACAGCGTCCCCGTAATGCATCGCCTCCTCGAGGCGCTTGGCGAGGTCCTCCCTCTTGGAGTTTAGATCCTTCACCAAGCCCTCGAGTTGGATACTTGTGCTTAGTGCCCGGGCCACGCAGGCGCTGTTCACCGCCACCAAGTCTTCAGCAGTGCAGGAGGCGGTGTGGTCCCTCCACTCTTCGGTCCAATACTTGCTGTGGACCACCGCCACCGCAGCTGTTTCCGGAGGGAGAGCCTCCAGCACCTCCCTTACTGGCTCTTCTGAACTGGTGCCGAGGAAGTCAACTTCTTTGCTGGAGCGGGCCCTTTTCCTCCTCTGCTGCCCCGGAACATGTTCAATAGGTACGGCCGTGAGGGGCGTCGTGTCCTGGGCAGCAACAGGCTCCGCAGCAGAGGGGCTTCTCTCTGGGAGGGCCACCCCAGTAAGAATAGTTGTCTGCCGCATAACTGGGGGTGGCCTCGCCACAGTTGGGCGTCTGGGAGGGGCAGCACTTTTCTTGCCCTTCCTTCGAAGGTCGGCCGCCGGATCTTCCTGAACCTCCTCCTCTGTCGGAGGCTGAAGTCTCTTACTGGCCTCCACCAGCTCCTCCATTTGTTTCTTATATGAAGAAGAGGAGGCCTTCAGTGCCCTTGCTTCAGCCATCATTTTCTGAATAGTTTTGAAGTCAGGGCGTACTGGCAGCTTCTTGTTGAAGTTATCTGCAAAGAAAAGAATGAGGAATTAAATACAAAGTATTGGGAGTTCAGTTTAAAAGAGTGTGGGCTTCGGTCCTATTACCTTGGGACGCCATTAATTCGTGAGTGACGAAGTGTATGTTTTTCCGAATGAGCCTGTGATATGACCTCTTCTTCTGAGGCAGTTGATAAATAACGCAAATAATGTCGAAGTCCTCTGTCGACAGCTCGCACCGAGGGAGGGAACCTGCGAAAAGAAACATCTGTTAAACACAAGCCCGACCGAAGAGAAATAAAATATCAACTACTATACTCACTAAGTGTTGAAAACTTCGCCGGGACTGTAAGAGGCGCCAGGGGGTCCCCCTCCATTGTGTCCCATCGCCCCGCTGCCCAGCACCAAGAGCTCTTCCATTCCTTGATGGAGCTCGGCAGATCGATCACAAATGGAGTATGGGAACCCCATGACGTCAGGTAGTACTAGCCCCGGGTCTTATCCCCCCCGGCAGTAACCTTGGGTATGTAAAGAGTTTGGAAAACGGAAAGGGGCATCTCCACTCCTAACGACGCCTCTTTCCACAACATCCAGGAGCCCACCATCTGGCTCCAGGAGTTCGGGTTGAGCTGCGTCGGGGCTAGCCCGTAAGACCTAAGCACCAACCTAAAGAACGGGTGAATAGGCAGCCTAAGTCCGGCCCTAAGGATCGCCTCACTAATGGCCACGCAGCCCGACCTTGGGTAACAAGCCCTCTCTTCTGGCCCTGGGAGAATCAGGTCCACACTGTCCGGGATCCTATATTCCGTCCTAAGTCTACCAAGGTCGGCCTCTCTCAACTTTGATGAGTAGTCCGATGCCCCCCAGTGCACAGAGGTATCCGGAGGGCTATCTGGTCGCTTCCACATGTTTTCCCCTCCCATTATGGCCCCAGCTATTTCTGAGGAGGTCGCCACAATGGGCTCGTCCACCCTCACAATCTCTAAACTCCTACCCATACCAGAACTCCCTTCCGAGGCCATTCGTTAAGAAATTTTTAATCTAAATGGGTATTGAAACTTACGGGTTTGAAAGTGTTTCCTAGCCGGAAATGGTGCAAGATCGCCGGAAATATCGCTCTCTCTCTCGCCGGAGTTGTCTGTAGAACGCCGGGAATCGCCAAAAAATTTGGGAGAAAATTTTGTTTTTTCGTAGTAAAGGTAGAAACTCTGATAAGCCCCCAAAGTTCACCTTTTATAGGAAAGACAAATCCAATCTCCACCTTTGAATTCAAATACGATCAATCTAAACCGTCCGTTGTATTCTCGATCCCAGCCGTTGAAATGAAACGCCAGATTTGATCTACGCCCAAGATGTCGCTGTAGCTTTCACGCTAAATTGAAACGCGTCGCCTCGGTTACCAAAAGCCGTCAATATTAATTACCGGCCGCGGCAGCCTTCTAGGGGAATGGGCGTGGTACCCAACTGTCACCTTGGAAACACGCAACAGTTGTCAAATCATTGGACTTCTGGGTCGCCTCGGATGATCTCCTCCCCCAACTTTACAAAGCTTAGCCGCAACCGATGCGAAGGCCCCAGGCGCTGATCACTTCGGGCGCTGCGTTCCCACCCTTGCTTTACAAAGTTCTAACAATCTCCCCACGCGTCGACCCTCTTTTTCCGCCAACACTTCGGCGAGAAACGAGTCCCCCAACTTAACAAAGCCTGGACGCACCCGACGCAGGCGCCCCGTTTGCTATCGCCTCGGTCGATGCGCCCCTCCCATGCTTTGCAAAGCTTGAGCCGTCTCCCTCTTCCTGACAACGCTTCGATGAAGACGAGTCCCTAAAAATTCCTATAACGCTTTAAAGAACCCGGCGTGAGAGTATCATCGGCTCATCGCCTCGGCTCTGCGTTCTTCCGATGCTCTACAAAGTTTTAGATACCCCCATGCCGCGATCCGGTCAGGAAAACAAATCCACGTATAATATAAATATTCATCCTCAGATTTGGGGGACCACTGTTACGCCTCATTTTATGAGCCTCGGAACCACTCCGACCCCGAAGCCTCTCCGAAGTGATACACCGATTCCTGCCCCGGAACCGCTCCGACCCCGGAGCCTCCCCGAAGTGATACACCGATTCCTGTCACTGATCTGCCGAAGTGCCTTCCGAAGTGCCCCGTCTCTGAGGTCCGAAGTGCCCCGTCTCCGAGGTCGGGTTCAAGTGGCTTGAACCCCCGTTAGAAGATTCGCTGCCAATTTAAGATTTGCTCTGCATATAAGGTTTAAATTGATGTGACGTCCTCCATAAAGCTATTTGATGTGACTTATCAACTTTATGTCAATTCAACTCGGGAGAAATAAACTGTCCGCCCACTCTACAAGCGCGGCTGATTGACGCCTATGAGCAGATGCTTCATACCGTCAGATGTATACACGTGTTCCACATCCCACGGTTCATACCACCTATAAATACCCAAAGATTGGCCAGAGGCAAAGGTAATGAAACTCTCAATAGATAGCACTCCATAACAAGTTTATATATTCTCCTCCCCCTTTATTGACTGATTGATTTGTGTAGTCCCTGGACACTGTTCCGACCACCCAAATCTGACTTGACCGTCGGAGTGTATACGGCCGCCACCACCGCTGGTTCCGGCCGTGTGCGCCTGACAATTTGTTCATTTCGTAGGGAGGAATACGTGGAGTAGCTACAAGTTGGCCACGTGGAAGAGCCATTTTTAGAGGTCAACACCTTTAATTAACGAAATGCATGTGGGTACAGTATAATTATTCGAACATTGATATATATCATGCATGGAATAAAGTTATACTTAGATGAGAATGTTGGAGGTACAACTTTTAGCAATTTTTTACCATTTTTTAAACCTATCATTCATACGAAAATCTACAAGCATACAGCACATATACACGTGGTCACTTTGAGATATTGAGGATCCAACTATAATTAAAAAAATATTATGATTGTGCTGGCCAATAATCGATAGACCTTATAGGACATAATACAACCTTAATTAATAAACTCTCGTACATGGTTGGTTGGTGAAAAGTAAATAAAGACGAAAAAATAGTAATTACCAAGACATAATTATTGAAATGATAAAAATTGCAAATTGTCTATTTTTGCTTAGAAGACCTTTTTTTCCCATAGATGCATTCAAACGACATACAATGAGATTGTTATCCAACCTTATTATGGTAAATCTCGACTTAATTATCAATGGATAAATACTATTTTACAAATCAGTTGTTTCGAATAAATATGTATCGATAAAATTTGACTTAATCATCAAAGTAGTTTATTGCTATCAAAGTTTTAGGCACGTCGTTACAACTTAATTTCAGTAAAGGTTCATTCACAAGACTTCTGCTTTTATTTTCGCCTCTAATAAGACAAACAACTTTCAAAAATTATTAAAATGGGTTCAAAAGTTATTTTTTAATCTCAAAAATAACTTTAAACTTTTTAAAACTCTTGCAAAATAGGCTCCCCGTAAGATGATTACACTATACATTAAAAATTAGTGAGGGGCATAAATGGATTGACGCCAAACCTAGGTATTAGGTGAAGTTTCATTAGAGGATCTTAAATGGTCCACAAATCCATACTTAATACCTAATAATTACAATCCATGTGAGTCAACAAAAAATAATCTTTTGCAAGCTGATATTACCAAATTATGGGACCATTTGTACATTGGTGGTCCTCCAAAATCATGTCGATTAAAACAATTTTGTCCATTTCGATATTTTTATTTCCTTTGAAACTTGGAATAAACGGATGATATCTATTCACTACTAGGTGAATCACTACTAGATGTATCAATAGCCTTGTCGAAATCAAATAAGTAATACACAAATTCTTGGCCAAAATAAAAATTGAACTTTTCTAGATTTCATATTCTTAAGTTTTGATTATGGGTAATCCAGCTATTCATAAAATTTTTTCGAAGCTGATTCTAAATTGATAAACATTATCGTATTAATTCATGGGAATAAAATAATAAATTTAGAGGACAAGATGTCATATTGCTTTAATTTACTATTATAAACAAATAAATGTAGGAAAAAATTACATACAAACCTACATTTAAAGACTAATTTTCAAAAATAAGGGAGATTAATTTTCATTTCACAAATCATGTATTAATTAAATTTAATAATTATGATTAATAAAAAATTTAATTAAACCTAATCTACATACCCACCACCCCCTCCACCCCCATTTCATTCCCAAATCTAAACCCTAAATATTTTCCCACCTCTTTCTTCTCTCTATCCTCTCTCTCTTTATCACCCTCTCCCATCCACTCAACCATCTTCCTTTCCGGTGTGACGAAGTATCATCGATCATCGCTCGCAACATGACGAAGAAAGCAGCATACTGGCAGCGATGAAGATGCTCGCGGCGATGGCTCATCTCTACTCGCAGAAGTAGCGGCAAAGATTGTAAACTATTGGACCCTCCCTCCCGTACCCGATTCGAACTGGTAATGACTTCGGTCTTCTTATCAAAGATTTCTTCACTACTCTATCCTGCTTTGCTTTGCCAAAAAATGATCGATTCCTATACTTTTGGCAAGCTTCTTCAACTGTTTCTTCTTCTAGCAATGGCCGTGTGGAAGGTGAAGATTGATTGAAGCATTTTTTGTTACTTCTGGATTTGAAAATGGGAGAATTTGAAGTGGCTGAGCTTGTGTGGTGCTAAAACAGCAACCTATTGGGATTGGAATGTGAAGCTTTGGTCCCAATTGGAGCTGCTGCAATGGACCACGACTACAATCTGTCGCCTTCGATGGTGGCTATGATTGTGGTGTGTAGATTTGTAGGTGGTGTAAGTCTGCAGTTGTATTTATCTGCATTTGTTAATTCTGTGGTGCTGGTTGGTGTTTGTTGAAAGTGTTGGTGGTGATGATTGTTGTTGTGAATCTAAGGTGAATGTAGTATTTATGATCGTAGATTTGAGTTGAAGGTGGTAGTGGGAGTGCATTGGAGGTGATGGTAGTTGTGTGGATGACAACGGATCTTAGAGATTATAGGAATTACAACAGCTAGAACTAGAGGGAGTTGCTAGTCTGGAATTACACTGTAACCCTGATTGACTATAGTAGAGATAACTGACTTGGTTCTGGAATTTTTCCCATAGTAGGTTTCTCCGTCAACAAATTGTGCATTATTCACTGTTTTCCATATTATTACAATTGCGGCATTCAAACATAGGAAAAATGGACTTGTATGTTTAATTATCTAGAAAACTAATTAAAAGTAACTTGTTGCTTTAATTAGTATAATTCCACACATAAGGTCGAAGTAATGAATTGTCTAGAACGTAAACTTGATAATTCTAAAATTTGAAGTTGTTTCCAGACCCGAACTCACAAGTAGTCAAGAGCGTTCTAGGCATCTCAAAACAACAACGTATTGGGATTGGAATGTGAAGCTTTGGTCCCAATTGGAGCTGCTACAATGGACCACAACTACGATCTATCGCCTTCGATGGTGGCTATGATTGTGGTGAGTGGATTTGTAGGTAGTGTAAATCTACAGTTGTATTGATCTACATTTGTTAATTCCGTGGTGCAGGTTGGTGTTTGTTGAAAGTGTTGGTAGAAGTGATGGTTGTTATGATTGTTGATGTGAATCTAAGGTGAATGTAGTATTTATGGTTGTGGATTTGAGTTGAAGGTGGTAGTGGGGGTGCATTGGAGATGATGGTAGTTGTGATTGGTGATGGATTGTGGTGCTAGTCTGCGGTATATGCAGATTTGTTTGTGATGACCCTATGTAACCAACAAACCAAGTATGTGTTTATTATGACTGGTTGTGACCAATTCTTTGTTAATTATGATCGATACCTGGTTACAGTTAATACACCGAAGACAAATTTGATCACAGTTAGTTACATTGAAGACAAATTTGGTCACAGATAACACATATCAACAACTTGATTACATACAGTCACTAATAATCACATATAATACAAATATGGTCACAAACAATAAATCAAATCACTAGACAAC